TTACTTCCTGGGTAGATTCACTTAACAAGGCAATCTAGTTTCTTACTACAAAATAAAGACAAAAATGTATAAGCTACAAAACTACTGCAAATACATCTGCAAGAACATTTTAGGTTAATGAGTTCCCATAGGGAATCTATTATTTCTGATCAACTATCATGTTGTATTGAATATCTGAACTCAGAGTTAGTAAATAGAATGAAATTATTAGTCTCTTCCAAACACTGTAGTCCTCAATTTTCTGATCCTCAAATAGCTACCAATATAGTATAATATTACTATACAGATGAAGACATTCTATAAAAACTATTTGTGAATGATGGGATCTAAATTAGGAACCCAACTATATAGGATATTTATTTTGATTAATAATACTTATTTTAAAACTAGCACTTTAATCAATATGGTATAATAGCTATAATGCTGTCTCAGATTTTAAATATCATGAGATAATATGTTAGAAATGTAAATGTAAAATATTATTAAAATGTCCTTGATTTTCCATAACTGCTGCAACCCAGCATCAGCCTCACAGCACTAAGGACTCTAGTCCCACATCCCAGCCTAGGAACTCCATTCCTTAGTGGTGAGATCAGCTTTCAAACACCACATGGACAGTAAATAATGGCTTCCATGTGAATTTCCATGTGAATCAATGAATGCTGAAGACACACAGGAAGGCATTGTTGCTTATTTCTTGGTTTTATTCTTCTCACAATCTTATCTCCTCACAAGGGGCTTATCTATTCAATCTGTTGTTTTTTCTTTCATTTTCTAGGTAGTCTGGCCAATGACAAAATGACAAACAGTAGTTATTTCATGATCCTCACCTTGATCTCCTGCTATTTCTTTGTTTTCTCTCTTTATATGTACTTATTTATTTAGGGTCTCACTAAGTTGATGAGACTGGCTTTGGCCTCCTAAGCTGCTGAGATTACACACTTGGACTCATGTCTTTTCTTATTTCTTACTATCTCTCTGATCAAGAGTATGCTTCCTTCAATTAAAAATTCCCAAAACAGGAAAATGAAGATGCTCTTATCACTCCTTACCTGGCATTAAAGCATCACTGAAGGGCACCTAAGGAGTGCCATGCCATCTAAAATCTTCCTTCAAGACAGAAATAGCTGCTCTGTCATTCATTACTATCCCTGTTTACATGCATATTTGGAACAGAGTAGAGATTATTTTAGTTTAACAATTGAGTAATGTCTATCTTTCTCTTTTCTAAGTATCAATAACATTAAAATAGGTATAACAGTTCATTAAAATAACTTAGCCTGGAATTTTTTTATTGTTTTATGGCTGGGATGGTATAAGGACCTCCATTTGGAACAAACAGATAACAATGGTTATAATAACAATATTGTTTCACTAGCCAAATCATCTAATTTTTTGGCAACTATTTCTACTTGATATAGTTCACTCAATATTAAATATTTATTGAATGCAAACTTTTTTTGCAAGCACTCAGTGTACAAAAGTGAACAACGAGGGTATCTGCCTTCAAGATGGCCACGTTCTGGTCGGAAAGTGTGTGGTATGGAAAACCAACAGTGAAGGCAAAATGGTTCAATACTGTAAGAGCTGAAAAGTGGCAAAGATCCAACTACCTGATAGGGCCAAAGCACAGGCCAATGGAAAATCACCCAAAAACCATCATGTGAAATGTTTTCATTTTAATAACTGAAAGTTTCCTGAAGTGAACTTGTAATACAATGTACTGGTATTACCAGTACATTGTATTACAAGTTATTACAAATTACTGTTATTACCCTCCAATAAAACTACTACAAGCTACAATCACTTTCTATTACATTTCATTCACTTTTAATGTTTAAAGGACCTACTCAAAATAGGGATCTATTTAAAGGTCTTTGTCTTGGCCAAAGCAAAGCTTATTTATTTTTTTGCATCCATGTTTTCTACTGACCTGCCATGGCACAGCACATAAAACACTGTACCGATATGGTCCAATCTCAACCTCTTCCCCTTTATCCACATCTTTTGGGACTCCTTACATGGGCACCCAGGTAGTTGATACTACACGGAGAGAGTTCATCCAGGAACAGTTCCAATGTGCATTTTAAAATGATTCTATCATCAAGACACTCTGTTCTTCACTTTTAACCAATACAACACTTTGGAATCAAAAGCATTTGGATTCAGTTGATTCCTATTAGCAAATCCTTAAAGAACTAAAGTCCTAAAAAGAAAATCATCTAATGCTTACTTTAAGCACTAACAATCTTTTGAGATATCAAAAATAAAAAAATAGCAAAACTGCTCTCTCTGTATAATTTTGTACACAATTATGATTGTGTAAATGGAAGAAAAAATGAGTGACAAGAGGGATGGACATCTTGACAAACTAATATACAGCAAAACAATCCACATTACACAGGCTGTGTGGCAGAAACATTAAATGAAGCTGATCTAGATATTCTCTATAAAGATTCTTAAGACTCAACCCTTATGAAAGCTTCTAAAAATGTCTTTTAGAAATTTTCTCTACTTTTTCATTCCAGGTCGTGAAATTCAAATCCCTCTGGTCAAATCATCTCCAGACATCTGGAAAACTCAATCCATTCCCAGTGTAAGATCGCAAGGAAATTAACAATTAAGCCATTATTAGTGAACTGTGTGTTCTCCCTGGCTACTTGCTGCACCCTCTTGTTTAGTGTCAAACCATGCCTTGTAAATAATACAGGCATTTGAAAAACTCATTAACTTTTAGAACCCCATGGTATAGTTTATCATCTCACATAAATCAACTCGAGAAATCTCAGTAGGAACACAAGTGTTCCCAAGCACATAAAACCTCAACAAAGTAAGGAATATCTAAAAGACATATCATTTTTCAAATACTCCCTGCTAAAGAACTATAAATGGTCTACTGAAATGAAAACAGCCTTTCAAACTTAGAATCCAAAACTTTCAATGCTAATAATATACTTATCCGTGTCCTTAAATTACATATAACATACATGCCATACATGTATGTCTGTGTGTGACCCAACTACAAAGCAATTGTTGCAAACAGAAAACACACCTGAATAAAATCACTACAGAAAGCCTGAATGGGAAAAAAGAGCAGCAGAGTCCACAAAGTAGGCCAAAGCCCATGTCAAACAAGACATTATGGCAAATCAAAAAACTTTTGAGCGTTACCTCATGTGACCATACGAAGAATACGCAAATGATTTTGTTTTTAAAGTAAAACAAACAGTGAAGCTAGTCAGGACATCAGGATGCATGGGAAGCAAGATAGGCTTCGACCATAAGGGGAGAATGCTCACATGTTATGCATCTTAATGAAGAACAAAGTATAAAAAATGACATAAAAAATTATCTGGACTTAATTTTAAGTCCAGATAATTAAACTGTGACATTCAAGTTGCTACAAGGAGTAGATTCCTTTTCATAGTGATTCCTTCTTCAATAAGGTGATAAAAGACGAAAGAAGGCATCCACAAAATCAAACCAAAATGAGCTGAGTGAGGGCACTGCTCTCATTGGGGGAGAGAAAGACCTGGACAGAATGAGGCTGATCTGTATAACATTATAAATGACTCCATTACAGTCAAGACAGACTTGCTTACCAAATCTTTTAGAAGGTACTTCTAAAATCTGATTTTAGCTACCTTTAATTAGGAGAGTGATATATCACAAGGTGACTGTGGTAGAGAATATATTAAGGATTCACATTGGACTTGGATAAATACATGAGTGGCTGAGATAAACTGGGGTTAATCCCTATCCCTTACAGTTGTCAGAGAGCTAAACAGTGACACTAGCTCTGGTGGCTGTATCAATTCAAAATGCTAGCACCGAACAGGATACAGATCTGGCTATTTCCATGTTTCTATGCTACATGAAATATATCAAGGTATTTCTTCTCAAGTATAATTCTAATGGTTGTATTAGAAAGACCATAGGTCATATATTCCAAACACCTTATTAACCCATAAAAAATTCTGCCCAGTGATTGTCATTATCTGCTACCTATAGGAGAAAATCTGAATTTACTATTCAGCAAAGCTCTGATAGATTTGTTTGCATAGAGTACCCAGAGCTGGGGAAAAACAATTTAGAGTTGTTTTGAGTAATTACTTTCAGAGATTAAGAGTAGAAATAGTTTCAATAAAGAAAATTCTGGAACAAGTCCTATGTTTCCTGGTAAATGACATCAAATGTTGAGACAGCCTGAGATTAGAAAACCCACAACAGACATGTGTTTGGCTCCTGCTGGTTTAAGATACCTAATTAAAAGCAAACTAGGATGGAGAACAGAACATTCAGGGATTCACTGATAGCTCAGCCAAAAAAAAAAACCTGAGGTTTGGCAGTGAACAAAAAGATTGTCTTGAAGTGGCATTAATTCTGTCCTTGAAATGAAATTGCACTAGAGCATGATTTCCTTAAAGAGTTACGTTTCCTTACTGACTTAAATTAGTTGGTTGTCCACTTTGATGGAAGTCAGTGCCTCATTTCCATTGTAGGAGATAAACTTTCTAGTGATTCTGACTTTCCCAAGAAGAACCTTTATACCATCAGTTTATGTTAATTTGAGTTGACTAAACATAGAGACCTGTGATTGTGCTATTTGAGGAAAACAAATAGTTTTATAGCTTAATTTAATTGTTTAATTTAAACAAATAGTTTAATTAAAAACAAAAATTACACTCATTAAAACTAACCATCTCACTAAATTCTCTTCATATACTATAGTAATTACTTAAACAAAAATCTATTTCCCAGATAGTCTATTGACCATATGGCTGAGAGGCCTCTTGATAATATGGAAATGCTCATTCAGAACAGGAATGTGTCCAGGGGAAGTGGTGGATCAGCAAATTAAGGCACTTTTGTATCCTAACTGCTTTTTCAAGTAGCCTTAGTTATGGAACAACCCTATCTCCTCTGGAAATCAAAAGTGACCTTTACATTTAAAAAAAAAAAAAAAAAAAACAATTACCAAGAAGTTCAGCAAACCTTACTTCTGGTAGTGGGCTGGCCGGTTTGGTGAGGATTCCTCCTACATAAACAACGTTAGGCAGAGTGGGTCTTGGAAACTCCAGTGCCACGTCAGTACACAGCATCCACAGGCTGGACCCATGAACCAAATCATACATGGACTTCTCCGGCAGCAGGTTGTACTTCTGCATTATCCTTTCATATTTGGGAAGAACCAGAAAGCTGACCCCTAATCTGGAAATGAGGTAAACGCCGGTATTTTTCATCCTTTGCAGCAAGTTCATGCGGTCTGTGAGGAGTGAGTTAAACTCTGGGACGTAAGCTAATGGAGCAGGAGCTCCCACTTCAGCAGGATACCAAAGGCCAGTTGAAAATACAGCATATTTAACCCCTAAAAGATGGGCTATCACAAATCCACACATATCATTTGGGTCTACCAGCAGCAAATCAAACTTTTCTTTTTTCAGACTCTGGATTAGGGCTTGGTTGCCAACTATCATGTCACAGTTCTTAGTATAATGATCCAGTATGTCAAACAGTTCGACTGCTGTCAATCTCCCAGAGAAAATATTCCGCATTTTCGACTGCAGGAAAGCGTCCGAGGTGGTACTGTTGAAGATCCCTGGGTAGCGCTGAAGGCTGTAATGATTAGATGGGGCGATGTCTCTGCCTTCAGAAAGGAGGAACACTGTGCGGTGGCCCCTCTCATGCAAGGCTGAGGCTAGCGTCTTGAAAATGTACATATGGCTTTCAAACATAATTGGCGGCACGATGATGATTTTGGCAGCCCTCGCTATCCCAACAGCGCTCCACAGGAGCATGAAATACAGAGTGTAAGACTTCATAGCTGTAATGACAACCAGAGAACAACTTAAAACAGAATACAAGGTTTACTATTCAAAACAATGTACAAAGTCTATGTTTTTCAAACTATCTAATGATCCAGTACTTTTAGAAATTATGCTAATATTTTTTCTAATTAAGCCTTCACTTTAAAATGCTAGACTGTTTAAGTACAGAATTGGAAACAACGTTGATACATATTTAAAATGGGCCAGTCTGAATGCATATAATTTCATGAATAACCTAGGATTTTATAATTTGAACTAAAACATAAAGTTGAATGACATGTGATATTTCTTCTTTGGACATAACCTATGAAACCGTATAAAACCACTTATGTTTATCTCCTAATTGAACATAAATGTTAATTCCAAGAAGAACAATCGAAATTTTTTATTTCCAGGTATATCAGCATACATGTTTCTTACTTAATTCATCTAAATCAGCAATCACATTCCCAATTATGACCAAAGCATACCAAACAGAGCAAGCTTTAGAAAACAATTCTTTTAAATAGCAGTTCAGTAACTCTGTAGTAAAGACTTTTCTCCCACAGGAAAAAATTATCTTTAGCGTATATTTCCCTTCTACTAAACATCATTAAATATCCCAGAAGATTGCATTTGTGTAAGTTATATCAATTTGCTGATGCATGCTAAAGGTGTTACTAGGAGAGAAAATTTTTAGAAATGTTCAAGAGGTACTGCATGTCAGAGAAGGAACTGATGAGGGAACATGTCCCAGACCACACTTCTTATGTTCTACCTTTAACTTGGATGCAGACTGCAAGTCAGATAATGGCTGTACATCCCAAGGCTAACACTTCTACTCTTTAATGCCAACAGATTTTGTGTAAAGCCATCCTCTATGGTTCTTTAGAAATGAACACATTACACATAGGGTCCACATAGAGTGCAAATACTTCCAACCTTACTCAACATAATTTATATTTGGACTCTAAATAGAGAAAAGGTCTAAGCAATTGAACATGCAAACTGAACATTTTTATATCAAGGAACAACTTGGAATGGATTTTTACATACATCAGCAAATCTACTCCTATTCATATTCATTATCATTTAACAATACTATTTGAAAAAAGTCACACCTAACTACAGTTTTAAATAACTACGCCTTCTCAAATACTGCCAGAGACCTAAAAAAACAAAACAAACAAAAAACAATGGGCAAATCTTGGATTCTTCCAATATCAAAACTGAACTATAAGTTAAATTTCTAGATGCTTTTTCCCTCCCATTGGCAGAAGAAATAAAAGTAATAAATGTATAATGTTAAATGTTGCTTGTATACAGGGCTTTAAAAATACACAAATCTGGGGGCTGGGGTTGTGGCTCAGCAGTAGAGCACTCACGTAGCACATGTGAGGCACTGGGTTCAATCCTCAGTACCACATAAAAAATAAGTAAATAAATAAAATAAAGGTATGGTGCCCAACTACAACTATATATTTATTTTTTTAAATATACAAATTTGGACAAGATGTTTTTATAGAAAAGTTGTCAATTATAAAGATCAATAAGAAAGAAGCAGCAAATCATGGAAAAAAAATTCTAAGACATTATTCTACTGTATTGCCTCATGAATATGTCTCTCTGATGTTGTCTTCTTCCAATTCTAGGGAAGAAAAAAAATTAGGGATTTTACATGCTCATGTTATGAATTTCAGGAGTGAGATTTACATAAAAACAGGTATTTCAGGTCCTTTGCTGTCACTGTCTGCATGTCGCAGAAGTTATACTTAATGGTGGACAAATGATAGACAACTCTTCTCCCCACTGGGATTTGAACCTTGCTGAGCAGACAGCAGGCACACTCTATTCAGTCACAAACAACATCAAAACTAAAAACAAAGAAAAAAATAATAGTAGAGGAACAAGTCTTTTCATTGTTTCTTATCTTGTTCTTTCTCCTTTTGTATTAATATTTTATTTCAGTAATTATTACAAAGTAAAAATAAATCACCAAAATGGTGGTTTTTGTTTTAGTGAACTATGGCTTATGATCTATAATAATGCTGTCCAACAGAACTGTCTGTGATGATGAAAATGTATATCCTGGCCATCCAATATGGTAAACCCTACTCAACATGTGACTACTGAACAGTTCAAATGTGGCTAGTGTGACAGAGGAAGTGAAACACAAATTTTACTTAATTTAATTACATATGGTTTGTGACTACCATACCATGGATTCCATACCTAGATTCTGAAAGTCAACTACTCAGAAGTACCAACCTTCATGTGGCAAAATACTTATAAAAACTACCTCCTTCATATGTCTTCAAGAAACAATACCAACTGCCAAAGAAGCATCATGCTATTCCACTACATAAACACAAAATTAATTATGGAAGATTACAACAGCAGTTTAATATAAATATCAGAAAGATAACTGCAGTAAATAAGAAAATGACAAACAAAACTATCAACAAATTTTGAGATTTTGCTAGTCCAGAATGATCTGAGTATGTCTCCTGGAAAGATGATCTTCAGACATATTATACTGTATCAGACCCCAATTTTAACACTGCTTTTTATCTTTATAGTAAGTGATTTTAGTTACAACATAGGGTGTGGCACCAAAATTTCTTACCCAATATAAACATTAATTATCATCAAAACACCCAAATAAGAACTAATCGATTCATACAATGACGATTCCAGATACCACATTGTTAATTTTTAAAAATGACTCATTATTTTCAATATATGACATAAGACTACACTTGACATTTTAAAATGCCAAGGATATGCCTTTTTATTACATGAGGTAAAAAAATTAGTAATACTGCTATCTCTTTAGTTTCTTGCATAATTACACTAGCATAGGCTTGGGTGGGGCTTTAAATGCAATATCATCCAAGAAATCAAAAGCATGAATCCACTCCTACTAATGCTTTTCAAAACTAGAAGATTGTGATAACTTAAGAATTCTCTATTATTTCTACTATTTAACATAATTCTGATGTTCAAGCATATAATAGAAAATAAATGAGGTACAAAAATGAGAAAGCAGGAAACAAACTTTATATTTGCTGAGATTAATAAGATTTTCTTCATGAAAAACTTGAAAAAAAACTTGAGTCAGCTGATATCAGGGCAAATTGATAAGAAAAATCAATTCCCATTTACCATAAACACACACTCCAAAAGTTTTAACCACTAGCAATAATTACTTATTCATATGATAAACAATTTATTTCCTAGAAAACAATGAGAATTATTCAAAAATAATAATTTTCAGAAATACAGAAATCCCTACCATTAAGGAAGCCTGTATTTTATGGAAGAAGAGTAAAAAATCAAGAAAAAACAAAAATACATGCTATATAACCATTTATAAAATATTATCAAATAGTAAATAGTAAAAAACAAAACAAACATGCAATACAAAAATCTTCTACAATCACTTTCTAAAAAAAAAATGTTAAAGCCTTTGATTTTTATGGAATTAACCTGAGAATGTGAGTACTAAACATACTATTTGGTTTGAGACTGATTTTGTCTTTCAATTTTAAAGAACTATTCTTGTATTTTCAGGAAACTATAAAAAAAATCAAGAATTTTGTCAACTGTTTATTTTTTTGCATCTGAAGTTCATAGTTTTTGTCTGGAAAAAAAAGCAAACAGAATAGTAAAGGGAAAACAGAATTATATACATTATTCATTAATTCATTATTTCATACTTATTTAAATAATATACCTTATGCATAAATTTTAAAGCTGCTCAGAAACATTAAAGAAAATGACCAACTGAGAACCAAATAATGTAAGGATCAAAAAATTTCTCTAAAGTATAGATTTATAAAAACCATAATCAAATTTCTAGTAACATGTGCCCCCAAAGTTAACAAAATGATGCTGAAATCTACTTGAAAAAGTGAAATTGTAAAAGCAAAAAAATTAAACATTAAATGGAAGAAAAATGAAGAGGCTTGCATTTTCAGCTATTAAAACATACTACAAGCCAGGCACAATGGCCCATAACTGTAATCCTAGGGGCTCGGGAGGCTGAGGCAGGAGGATTGGGAGTTCAAAGCCAGTTTCAACAATGATGAGGCACTAAGCAACTTAGTGAGACCATGTCTCTAAGTAAAATACAAAATAGGGCTGGAGATGTGACTCTATGGTCAAGTGCCCCTGAGTTTAATACACAGTACCCCCCTCAAAAAAAATACTATAATGTTACACTAAAATAATGTTACCATAAAAATAATGCAGTAATAGTTAAAAAGAGAGAGAGAGAGAAAGAGAGCGTGCGCTGGGTTAATATGAAAGAAAAAAGGACCCAAACATGTCTTTATAATATATGCATAAATATGTTACACTAAACTTGAACATTTAAATTCAGTAGGAAAAGAATCAATCCCTAAAATAACAGGATCACTCTTTAAATAACTAGAAGTTAGAATCATATTTCAAACTTTAAAGATAAAAACAATTTAAGATAAGTTCAAGAAAAAAGTATACAAATATATAAGGAAATAAACAATCAAAATTTTAAAATAGGAAAAAGACCTGAACAGAACATCTAACCAAAGAAGACATACAGATTGCAAATAAGCAAGTTAAAAGATATTCAACATCATATGTCACTAGAGAACTGTAAATTTAAACAATGAGATACCACTACACACCAATCAGAACAGCCCAAATCCAAAACACAATCATCACCAAACACTAGGGAGGATGTGGGCCAGTAAGAACTGCCATTCAATCTGATGAGAATGTAGAATGGTATAGACACAGTGGAAAGAAGATACACTTTTACCATATGATCCTGCAGTCAGACTTCTTGAAATATACCCAAAGGAGTTGAAAACATGTCTACCCACAGATCTGCACACAGACGTTACTGACAAACCTTGAGAGCAATCAAGATGTCCTCCAGGAAGGGAGTGTATAAACTGTGGTACATCCAGAACTGAAATATTTTCCACCACTAAAGCAGAAATGAGCTATCACGCCATAAAAAAACAAGAAG